GCACAAAGCCATTCATGAGGGATCTGCCTCCATGACCCAAACACCTCCCACCAGGTCACACATTCAACACTGGGAATCAAGTTTCAGTGTGAGATTTGGAGGGACCAAACATCCAAACCGTATCACATGGTGAATGATTTTTTTTTAATGTGTTGTTGAATTTGGTTTGCCACCATTTTGTTGAGGATTTTTGTATTGCTGCTCATCAGAGATATTGGCCTATAGTTTTTTGTTGTTGTTGTACCTTTGTCTGGTTTTGTGTCATGGATTTTCTAATTTGTTGGCATATAGTTGTACATAATAGTCTGTTATGATCCTTTGTATTTATGTCATATCAGTTGTAATATCTCCTTTTTCATCTCTGATTTTATTTACTTGAGTCTTCTCTTTTATCTTCAGTTAGCCTAAAGGTTTGTCAATGTTTGTCTTTTCAAAAAACTAACTCTGTTTTGTTCATCTTTTGTATTTATTTTTTAATCTCCATTTTTTTTTATTTCTGCTCTGATCTTTGTTATTTCTTTCCTTCTACTAATTTTGGATTTAGTTTGTCCTTGTTTTTCTAGTTCCTTAACATGTAACATTAGTTTGTTTATTTGGTATCTTTCTACTTTTTTAATGTAGATTTTATTTCTATAAACTTCCTTTTTAAAACTGCTTTTGCTGTATCTCATAGATTTTGGTATGTTATGTTTCCATTTTCACTAGTCTCAAGGAATTATTAAATTTTCTTTTTAATTTCTTCATTGATTCATTTGATGTTCAGGAGTATGTTATTTAATTTGCATATATTTTTACAGTTTCCAATCTTGCTTCTATTACTGATTTCTAGTTTTATTCCATTGTGTCAGAAAAGATATTTGATATGATTTTTATTTTTCTAATTTGTTAAGATTTGTTGTATGACCTAACATATGGTCTATCCTGGAGAATGTTCCATGTGCTGTTGAGAAGAATGTGTATTCTGCAGCTGTTAGATGGAATGTTCTTTCAATGTCTGTGAGGTCCACTTGGTCCAGATCATATGACTCTGCGATTTAACTCTGATGTTTCTTTACTGATTTTCTGTCTAAATGATCTGTCCATTGCTGAAAGTGGGGTGTTGATGTCACCTACTATCATTGTATTACAGTCACTCCCTTTAGGTCTATTGATATTTGCTTTACATATTTGGGTGCTTCATTGTTAGGTGCAAATATATTTACAATTGTTATATCTTCCTGCTGTATTAACTCCTTTATCATTCTATAATGGCCTTTTTTGTCTTTTTTTCCTACCATTCTTGACTTAAAGACCATTTTACATGATAAAAATATAGCAATTCATTCCTGGTTTTTTCCGGTTTCCATTTGCATGGAATATTGTTTTCTATCCACTCTTAGTCTGAGTGTCTTTATAGGTAAAGTGAATTTCTTGTAGGCAGTATATAGTCGGATCCTGTTTTTTAATCTATTCAGCTACTCTTTGTCTTTTAAATGGAAAATGTAATTCATTTACATTCAAGATTATCATTGATAGGTAAAGATTTAGATTTACTACTGTCCATTTTGCTACTTATTTTTTGGTTGTTTTGTAGAGCCTTTCTTCCTTTTTCCTCTGTATTAGTCTGAGTCCTCCAGAAAAACAGAACCAATTATATTTATACATATATAATATATACATATATATGTGTATATCTATGGACATGTATGTATGTGTACGTATGTGTGTATGTCAATATGTGAGCCAATTCCTTAAGAGATTTATGATAAGAAATTGGCTCACATGGTTTGGAGGCTTAGAAGTCCCAAGATCTGCAGTTGGCAAGCTGGAGACTGAGGAGAGCCAATGGTGCAGCTCTAGTCCAAACCCAAAGGCTGGAGAATCAGGGGTAGCAGTGGTTTAAGTTCCATTTTGGGTCCAAGTCCAAAGGCAGGAGATGACCAATGTCCCAGCTCAAAGACAGTCAGGCAGAGAGAGGGGAAATCCTCTCTTACGTTGCCATTGTTCCATTCAGGCCCTCAATGGTTTGGACAGGGCCCACCTCTCTGTGGAGGCCTTTGGCTTATGCAGTCCACCTGTTCAGATACTGGTCACATCCAGAAATGCCCTCACAGACACACCAGACTAATGTGTGGCCGGATCTCAAGTCAACATGTAAAACTCACCCTCACAGCCGCACATTCCTACTGGATTCTCCAGGCCATGTAGAAGCTGGCTGGGTCATGACACCCAATTAGGAGAAAAGCCATGCCAAGACCCTGCAGTGACCCAGGTTCAGTCCACATCGGCCTGGGGTAGAGCAGAGAAGCCAGAGGCCAGCTGGTATCATGGAAGGGTGTCACGTGGATTTCTCCTCCAGAGAGTGGGGCCACCCAGCCTCACGGGGCATAGGTCACCACAAGCTCCCTGCTGTCAGTGTGGGATCTGCTGGGCATTCAGCCTGGCCACCACCTCCCTACACCCCCAGCTGGAGATCAAATGTAGCAGGGCCACCGAGGCCATGCCCTTCACACCCATGTGGGACCTGCCAGCATACACTCTAGTCTCTGTCCAGTTCCACATCAGCCTGGGGCTCCCCGGCCTGGCCTGGCCTCCTGCCCTCCCGCCTTACACAGCTGTGGGTTTGCATCCCAGCCCAAGGCCTTTCCCCGCCCCTCCTGCTCCCCTCTACATGCAGAGCAAGTATCGTGTCCTCTCTTTGTGCCACCACAAAGGTGAGCGACCTTCAGCCCATCCCATTACCCACCTCTGCTCCAAGAGCCAAAGGCATTCCCAGGGAGGGGGCCTCGCCCACAGTCCCACACGCCTCCTGGCCTAGCACCAGCACCTCCAACTGCAGTGTGAACTTACTGCCCCGCCACCTGCCCACTGGTGAGCAGCGCTTGCCCCAGGCACCCCCGGGCACTGCCCACTCCAGCAGCCACCAGAACCCAGGAAACACAGGGTAAGGATGATCTCAGCAGAGCACCACAGGATCTTGCTCTAGGGCTGCAGCGTGTGCCATACAGGTGGGTAAATATTTTCGATGTCACCTGATACCCAGCCATGCGGTCACGGTGCTGTGCTGCTGCCCAGGAATCCTTGCCCCATGCACTGTCTGGCAGCCCCTAGACAAGGCCTCTAAGTGGCTCTTGCTTCTATCTCCTCCACCCACTCTGGACAGATGGACAGACAGCCACCAGCAAGCCTGCAGGCCTCACAGGGACTCTCCAGGAAGCTCTGTCTGGCTCCCACCTTGCTAGGCAGGGCACTGATGGCACAGAGGGCAGAGCCTGGCCTGCACCACATCACCACATCCCAGGCTGTGGCTGGGCCACACATCGACTGGCTTCACCTGCACTTGGCGACTCAGGCTTCCTCCTGGTGGGGCCATCCTCTTCCCACCCAACACCGATTGTTTCCCTTCACCCATCCCCTGTCCCCAAAAGCCCTGGAGGAGGGTTCCATGGGCTTTCTGGGGACCTCAAGGGGGGAAGCCCTCCCTTCACCGACAGCACCCAAATCAGAGGCACTTCCCAAAGGACAGGGCTGCAAGTGACCATGAATGGCCTTGGGGAGGACCCAGGTGTCAGCAACCTGGCACCCCTTGCAGGCTGGGGAGTCACTGTTGCCAGGCCACATAATCTGGGGGCAGCGTTGAGGGCTTTAGTAAAGGGGCCAACAAAAGTGGAAGGGTCTACCTGGGAACAGGAGGCAGGGGTGCTGGAAGGGCCCTGCTCTGCTGGGAAGTGTGGCTGCCAAGAGACACGTCTGTGCCCAGGGAAACAGACGTTACATTTCCTGTCCACGGTAGAAGCACAAAGTAGGTGTGCCCCAGCCAAGTCTTGGGGCTTTTGGTGCTGTTCCTGGGGCAATTATTCTGCCTTGTCTCTGCAAGGGGGTCCCGACCAGGCTGGGACCATCTTACCCCAAGGCTCTGTCAGTTGGGGACACCTGACCCCCCTCTGGACAGCTCTACTGTGTGGCCAAACCCACCCCCCTCACTGGTCAAAGGCCTTATTTGAAGACAGTCAAGTCCTCAGACTCCCAGACCCCTGGCCTCCAGAGCAAATTTCTGATATGTCTAGATCAGGAGTTTACAGACTACAGCTTGCAGGCCCAACCCAGCCGTCACCCACAGCCTCTCGCGCAGGCGCTGCCTGTGTCTGCGGTCACTGTCATAGCGGGGCTGAGTAGCTGTGACGGACACGTCGTGGTATACAAAGCCCGGAATATTTGCTCTGTGGCCCTTCACACAGGTGTGATGATGCCTTAGCCAGTCCACTAAGGTCGGGGACATGTCCGTGAGAAGGAAAGGGCTGGCAGCAGGCACACACAGGCACACACCTCATAACTCGTCCCGCCTCCCTCCCCCAGGAAGCCCAAAGCAGAGCAGACCTGGCATCCGCCAGCCAGAACACAGACGAGGGTCTTCTCACCCGAACGATCCTGAGCTGAGGTGTCTGCTCTGTCTGGATTGTTTATTACACCTTTAGCACATGGCTGTATGGGCCACGGCTGCTGTGGAGAACGCACGAGTCCAAGGTGAGAGTCCCCAAGACGAGGGCTTCCCGGGTCTGGCCCGTGCGCAACATGTGAGCCTGTCGGTGGCTCTGGAGAGGGACTTGGGGAGGCTGCAGCTGACCTTCGGGGCTTCTGGGATATGGCCACGCCTGTCGGATCCATCCTTATTGCTGGCAAAGTCCAACGCTGGGAAAGTCTGGACTCGTCTGCGAGTGTGCATGACACCCAGGAAGGCGCAGCGTGTCCTCTGCCTCTGTGACGCCGTCGTGTGCCGATGCCCTGAGTGGCGTGGCCGTAAGCCCTAAAGCATGGGGTTCACCTTATCATACCCCAAAGGCTTTCTCTCCCAAGATAAAAATAGAGCAATGAATAAGACGACCCCACACAAGAAGTAATTTTCAAAATGCCTTTATTTTTCCTCATCGGTGTCATTGCGTCACACGTCTGAGTGGTGGCTCGCCGTGCACCTTCTTGTTTGGGTGTTTCTGCCAAGCTATGCTTCTTCCTCCACAGGCGTTTCAATCCTCCGTTTCTTCGGCTTCTGATAGTGTTAATGTTACTAGATTTTTTAAAAAAGAAAAAGTGTTTTATTTTCAAACGGCATATTCAGCAGTCCCAAGGCAATCTCAACAAGGTCTCTGAGCACAACCACACGGCGTTGGGTGGGAACCGTTTGCACAACAGGCCAAATGGCGGGAGCCCTGCGCTGCCCCGGGCTTCTCGGTGTGTTCAAGTTGGATAAATTAGATAAATTAGAATTTTGCTCAAACTAAAGCAACAACTATAAGTTTTGTTGAGGGGCCAACGTCACCGTTGAGCGCCTCTCACAGGCACCGTCTGGTGAGGGAACATCCCAGGACCGTCTCACCCTCCTCCTCCTCCTCGGTCTCGCCACTCTTCTTTGAGGGCCCGACGCTGGAAGGCTACGGCGCCAGCTCATCGCTGGTTGTGACCACCTCGACTTTCTCGCTGGACTTGAACGGGACCGTGACGTCTGGGATTGTCTCCTTCTCTCTCCTGCTCTCTTGAACAACTCTGAGGGGAAGAGGGCTCTTAATGCAATCAGAGAAATGAAAGACGGAAAGCTCCTGGGCCACCCCGCCCCCAACCTCCCTCTAAAAACGCAGGTTTCATAACCATGCATGTGCATTATTTAAGGTAAATGCTTTGCCTTAATAGTTCTCGTTTTAGTGTCTCGTGCACGCCCCAGACAGACAAGCCAAATGTGGCATCTGGGGTCCCAAAGACAACAGCAGGGAGGGGAAGATGCACCTTGTGCTGCAAGTCACAGCTGGTCAACCCATGGTTAATACACACAGGACACCATGCAGCACCACGCACAGGAGGAAAATGGCTTCACCTGTTGCTGGACAAAGTGACATCAGTGACTGTGTGCCTGTCACAGGGACAGGGCTTGTGCTGGAAGGCACCTGGCCCTGCCCCGTGGACAGCCACTAGCTGTGTGGCCCCAGCCTGCATTTCCTCACCACTAACCAAGAGGGAGCAGAGAGGTTTGTAACACCCCTGGCTCTGATGCCTGCAAATATGACTCCTGCCACAGGCCACAGGGATTGGGAGCACTGGAGACCACGGGGGGCCTGAGTTCGATCCCTCCTGCCTACTCACAGCTGCAGGACCCCTCGGTTACTGGGACAGGGACAGTGACAGCATCTGAATGGGCTGCGTAGAGCACGTAGACTTTTAGGTGCTCACTGGGCGTTGGTTATGGTTTCCATCGACAAGAGAAGACCCGTGGGGTACCCCCTGCCAGGCCAGCTAGCGTCACCCCAGGCTCGCAGAGTGCTGCTCTGGGTCATCTCAGCAACACCAAGCCCCGAGGAAGCCGGAGTGGTGGGCGTCCCCCTGCCCTGGAGCTCTGCGTGTCCACGGGAAAGGACAGCGTGACTGACCTGTAGATAATGGTGATGATGACGGCCCTCGCGACGATCACAATCAAGGCAGAGAACACCTGCACGTAACCTGAAAGGCAAGTTCATTTGGACCCCAGTTAATCAAAGAAAGGAAAAGGGAAAGCTAACCCTCCCCAAGCAGGGCCGCGTCCCCTCGGGGCACCTGGCCATCAGCATCCTTGCTCCTTCCGCACACTCACTGCCCCAGCAGCTGCACGAACGCCAGCCCAGGGTGGGGTCGGCGCTGCTGGAGGACACCTGGGAGCGCCCTGCCCACTGAGGGGCATGGCGGAGATGCGGCTCCCCCTCCTCTGCTCCTGTGCCACCCCAGCCTCACGCTCTGCCCCCGTCTCGCAGAAACAGTCCCTCAACGCCCAGGAAGTTCCCCCCCAAAACTGAACATGAGGAAAAGGCTGTGGGGATGACAGACAAACTCCCCTGGACTTGACTGAGCTTCTCTGACTTAATAAAGGGTCTCCACAATCCCCAAGCTGCTTGTGTCTCTAAACCCACCCCAAAAAGGAGCAGAGCCTTCCAAGGTGACTCTGGGGGGACCGCTACTCCCCATGTTTCCCTGAGCAGAAGCATCGTTAGTGCACAGTCTCGGCCTCTCTGCACTCCTAGGCAGGGGTGAGGTGGGAGGAGGAACTGGGAGTGGCTGCTCCACCCCTTCCCGCGCCCCCTCCCAGGGAACTGCAGCGCCCTGCGCCCAGCACAGAGGCCAGCTGGGTTCCGAGGACTGACATCTGCTGGGTTCCGGGGATCTCCATCTGCTCGCCGGCTCAGGACTCAGCCAGATTGAAGGGTCTTAGTCACTGGACCCCCTTCAGCCCTAACAGCTCTGCACCGCTCCGGTCGTGGTCCTATAGTCAAATAATATTCCCACCCTAGTTTTCATCCTTCTACATTCTGGTCATCAGGTTGATGTGAGGATTTTTAAAAAATTAATGCAAGTGAAGTTCCTGACATAGGGCTTGGCAGACATGTGCACAGCAGTTCTTTTTGTTGTTATTACTGTCATTATTATTTTTTTCTCTAATTGCTTTTTTACTCTCTCAAAGGAAAGAAACTGGCTTACTTGCCAATGCCTAACTCGAGTGACATGATTAGCTTCAATTCCCTCACCCCTTCCTCCCTCCAAATTGCTCTCAAGTGTCTTTAACCAGCAATAACATTGTCAGATGTCATTTCGCTGCAAGGCGTGCTAGTCTGCAGCAAACCAGTGTCTGGAAACAACAGAAACGTGTCGTCTCCCAGCTCTGCAGTCCAAGTCCGAGATCCGGTGTCGGCAGGGCTGGGCTCTCTAAATGCTCCAGGGGAAGAGGCTGCCTTGCTTCTCCCCAGATCAGGGGCTGCCTTGATCTCTAGCGTTCCTTAGTGCTGTGGCTGCGTCGCACCAATCTCTGTCCCCGGGGTCAGATGGCTTCCCTCTGTGTTTCTCTGTCTCTGAGTCTCCTCTTCTCTTTTTATAAGGACATCAGTCGTACTGGATCGAGCACTCACTCTACTCCAGTGAGACCTCATCTTAACTCGTTACATCTTCAAACACCCTCTTTCCAAATAAGGTCATATTCATAGGTACCAGCGATTTGCACTTCGACTTGTTTCAGGCAAGCACAATTCCACGAGAGACAGAGGGCAGGCCACAGTGGGCCACCTCCAGGCTTTCTCACGAGCAGGATTCCAATGGGACCTGCATTCACCAGCCCCATGTGTGGGGTCTACAGGACTGGACGAGGCCACCCAGATCCCATACATGGGGACCTAAGTCAGAAGACCAAAAGGGGTTGGAGCCAATCAGCTCATGACGAAGCCCCAAGTCCTTGATTCTTCCCACACCAATGTGACCTCAGTGAGTGATGGTAAAGGATCCAATGGTGCTCACTGACTAAGTAATCAGGGAGAGGCTGGAGGGAGAAAGGTGTTATGTGGTTGGCAGATGACGGCCTCCTACACGTACAAGGAACAAAGCAGGGAGCCTGTGTTAGGGTCTGCCCTATTGGTCGGCTACATCCTCAGATGATGACATTCTTGTGGGCATCTCCTCACCTAGGAGGAAAGGTGAGGCCTTCGCCTCCCCAGGGCCTCCGTGCCAGCTTCCAGGTGGTGCCAGTGATTCTCCTGCTGTTCTCACGCCCAGGCAGATGCTCCCACAGTGAACAGGGCCAACCTCTGTCACCAAAGGAGGTGTGGCAGGGTGCAAATCCCAAAGCCAGGTGAAAAGACATCACCTTCCACCTTGCTCTGTCTTGGACCACTCGCTCTGGGGAAAGACTCCTCACGGTAAGAAGAAGCTTCCTAGTAAAATCTAATACTGGCTCCCCGGCAAGGCGAGTCATCGTGGAAGCCAAGCTTCTAGGTGACTGCAGCCTCAGTTGACATCTTGACTGCAATCTCATGAGACTGCCAAGCCCAAACCACCTGCTAAGGCTCTAAGTTGCTACGTTAAGGCACTAACTTTTGGGGTAGTTCATCACACAGCAATGGAAAATGAATACAAGGTGTCACATAGAGCGTGCACAGAGAAAGTACACTTTAAACAATGCTGAACAAACAATTGATGGATTAGAAATGAATGAATAAAGTGAAAGAGTGAATTAAGATCTTTTAAGGGACAAGAAGGTAACACTCAAATTCTTGAATTTCAGGGAAATTCCTTAGTGTGACTTTGCATCTTAGTTCACGGAATAAATTCAGAATTACATGTGAGTGAAGTCCTGTTGAGACATATTTATTTAGTCAATGTGTTAGCATCCCACTGTCTGTCCACCTCTGATCTCTGTATGTGCTTGGATTCCTCGTCCTCTGCACCAAGCTCCCAAGCAGACACTGAATCTCTGTGGCTCTCCTTGAACAGTGTCTGTCTAACAACAACTTGTTACAAGCCACAACTAATCGTAAACCACATATTATGGTCCATCTTTCAGAAATAGCAACAACTGAAGAAAGGATTGTTTTCTTGAAGGAAAATCTTGGTGAATTCTCCCCAAATGTAGTTAAACAAAAGTTTTGAAATCATCTCAGCAAGTCCCATGAAGAAATTAAAGTCAAATACTTAGAAGAAATGACATGTTACATAATGTACCCTAAATCAAAACTGAAGAATGAAGGCAAGTCTTTCTCTTTGAATTCCCAATTCTTTCTGAAAGATCTAATGCTAATTCCCCAAGTTCATAGTCTTAATAATACAGATTATGCCATAACACAATGTGCGCTTCAAACCAGCCAATTTAAGAAGTTGGTGAAAGGTTTTCATAACATGGAATTATGTGCACAAAGAACTCATAATACCCTGTCACTGAATACTACAACTTGCACAGCACAAAGGTTCATTCGTCATCTTGAATGAGAAAGATGTCAAAGAAATGAAAAATAATTTGAGGGCACAGTGAGAACCCAAGTGCAGGGCTCGCTGCCCAGACCCTTGCCACAGATGGGCCAACCTCTCAGGCTGGAAAGAAGTCAGAAGTCAAGCAAAAGCACAGCCATGCTACCCATTTATTAAAACGAGAAGGATGCAAAGAGGGTTAATAGTTGCTTCCAGGCAAACATGGCACACACACTTACAAACAGTGAGCCCTCTTCAAGCGCAAAAGCTCTGGAGAGCCAGTGTTCTTTCCTGGGTTCCGTACACCAGTAAGGAAGACACTGTAGCGATGAGGCTCGGTTTCCAAATGAATGACAGGCATTAGGTGATTGCTGCAACTTAAACAATGTTGGATATTCATGCCAACATTTACAGGTTGGTATGAACGGCCAACACCTGCATAAAAGTCCGATGAAAATATGCCCAGGGGATGGGACGCATTACAAAAACAGCAGCGGCTTGGATTTGAGTTACCTTACTAGCTGTGATCTTCCTGGAACAACCCATTTTACCACATTGGGTCTCTGTTTCATTGGGATATAAGGAAACTGGGAGTATTTATTGCCAAAGACCATAAGTAGCTCTGTGATATGGCCTGGGAATTGAACGTCTTCTACGTCTGTATATGGAGAAGATTGAAAGAAAAAATTCAAATATCTTTTGGATACTAATTTTTCCTGCTTTTAGGAGCCCCATACAGTAGACTTCTCAGAAAAACTAAGTTGTGTAAGTGCCTACAAGACTGGAGTTCTCTAAGAAGTGCAACTCCATGATGGGGATGGAGAGAGCTGGGTTGTGAATGTCTGCTGCTCTCCACATATGAGATGTGAGCATCAAACCACCAATTCCACAAAACAGCAAAAAGGTGACAAGTGCAAAAAGCAGTAAATTATGGCCAAATCACCACCCAGTACCATGGACTCAGCTCCAGGAGTACTTGTCACACCCTGGGGAATGAACTGTAGAATGCAGCAGTATGATAGAACATTCAACACTGGAGGGCCTGGGACTCAAAGAGGTCTCTTAAGTAATAGTCTAGCTAAAGGCCATGGGACTTACAAGAGGACAGGAGGAGGAGAATGGATTCCTTCAGAAAAAGCACCGTGTCTTGTTGTAACTCTCATTATCCAACTGTGTACAACTAGAATAGAGGTTCAGTAAAGCCCAGAGTTAACTTTCAGGGTGATATTAAATAGTAGCAACAAGCAGAGTAAGGACCTCCCCACACACCCCATTCCTTCCTCCATAAAAGCAATAAGAAGTCTGTTAAAAATTATCAGAAAAAAACTTTTTCAGAAGTCTGGAAATTAACCAAAAGCTTAATCATTACAGAAAATCATTTATTCAAGATGAACAGCTGAATCTCAGTAAGAACATCAAGTTTGGACATTTTAACTAGCCCTGTCCCCACCTCTCCTTCCCATCCTCCAGCTCAATGGTAGCCTTGGAAATCAACAGCCCATAATCATGGAGAAGACCAGCAGCTACTGGTGGGGGAGGCAGAACAGGGTGGGAGCTCCTTCAAAACCCCATTGCCAGAGAATTTTCCAGTGCTTCCCTGGAAGATCATCTTTATTTGAACTGAGTTCATTTAGCAAGAATAGCCTTTTCCCCAGGCATGTGTTCAAACAATCAGAGGCAGTTGTTGAAAACTGTGACTGGCTAACGTGGTGGATAGCAACTGGGGAAAAGCAATAGGCTAAACAAAAAGCTTAAAAGGCAAATCTGGTAAATGAGATGTCCATAGGGAGCTTTGAAAAGCTGTGACATATACCTGGGAATCTAAAGACCATGGACAATCCCAGGGCCCTGGATATGCCTAGTACAGCCCTGAGCACTCACCTCTGGCTGACCTTGAAGATCTGCCTAAGCAGGAAGTAAAAGCTAAGGCAGAGTTGGAAACTATCTGGCTGAGTGTCAAAGGTATGCCCCAACATACATACAAAGCCCCTCTACAAAGTCTGAGAGGCTTATGTTTCCAGACAGCTAAGAAAATTTTGTCCTGACCAGTAGGTTAACCAAGCAGTCTTCAGTGGTCACATACCACAGAATGCAGACTTTATAGATTTAGTTCAGAAAAGTCATCAAACAAACAATAATCACAATAACAAACAGCAGCAACAATACACACTGGAGAGGTAGAAGAATCTGGTTTTTAGAGTTGCTATGTTACATTACCTGAAATATTCAATAGTCAACAAAAATATGAGACATACAAAGACATGATAAAGTATGGCCATGTACATGAAAAATGCCATCAGTAGAAACTATTCCTAAGGAAGTCCAGACATTGGACTTACTAGACTTTAAATCAACTATTTTAAATATATTCAAGGAACTAAAGGAAATTATGTCTAAAGAAATAAAAGTATGAGAATAATATTTCATTAAATAGAGAATATCAATACAGAGACAGAAATTATTAAGAAAAGAACCAAATGGAAATTATGGAGCTGAAAGTACAGTAACAGAAATAAAAAATTCACTAGAGACCTGTGGCATACCATAAAGAATACCAAATACACATAACAGGAGTCCCAGAGGGAGAGGAAGGAGATAAGGGGGAGGCAGAAAGGATATTTGAAGAAATAATGGTAAAAACTTCCTAAATTTGATTAACATTAATCTAAACATTCAAGAAGCTCAGTGAACTCTGAGCAGGATAAACTAAAAGAGATCCACACCTAGAGGCATGATAAACTGTCCAAAGACAAAAAGAGAATCTTGAAAGCAGCATGAGAGAACTGACACATGGTGTACAAAGGAGCCCCGAGATTAAGAGCAGTTTCTCATCACAAACCAGGGAGGCCAGAGGGCAATGACACAAAACATTCAAAGTGCTGACAGAATGACTGTCAACCAACAATTCTATATACAGCAACTCTTTCAATGATGAAAGATAAATTAAAACATTTCAGATAAACAAAGTCAGAGTATTCTTCATTGGCAAATTGTCCTTACAGGAAACACTAAAGAGAGCCCTTCAGGATGAAATGAAAGGACAGTAGATAGTAAGTCAAATCCATGTAGAGTCATAAAGAGCCCCATTAATATGCTCAATAGATGCAGAAAAAGAATCTGATAAAACCTAATACCCCTTCATGATAAAAACACTCAACAAACCAGGAAGAGAAGGAAAATTCCTCAATATGATAAGTAGCATCTGGTAAAACCCACAGTTACCATCATACTTCATGATGAAATACCAAAATGTGCCCTCAAGATCAGCTCAAGACAGGATGTCTGCCCCATGACTTCCAGTCACCACCATGCTGGAGGCTTTGGTCAGGGAAACTAAGCAAGAAAATGAGACGAAAGCCCTCCAGATTATAAAGGAAGAAGTAAACTATTAATATCTCTATTTGTAGATGACATGATTTTATATGCAGGAAATCCTTAAGAATCAACTAAAAAATTAATAGAACCTATAAGTGAGTTTAACAAGGTTACTAGATACAAGATCAATATATGAAAATCAATTGTATTTCTATATGCTAGCAATGGACACTCTGAAAATGAAATTAAGAAAATAATTTCATTTTCAATAACACTAAAAAGAATAAGTTTGACAAAGTAAAGTCAAGATTGGTGCATTGAAAGCTACAAAATATTACTGAAAGAGATTAAAGACTTTTCCATTAAATAAATGGAAAGACATCCCTTGCTCATGGAACAGAAGATTGATATTGTGTTAAGATGGCAATACTCCCCAAATTATCTTCAGATTCAACACGATCCCTACCAAAACACTGGATGGTTTTTCTCTGTTTGCAGAAATTGACAAGCTGATCCTAAAATTGATGTGAAAATGCAAGGGACCTATAACAGCCAAAACAATCTTGAAAAACAAAAGTGAAGGACTCACATTTCCTGATTTCAAAAGTTACTGCAAAGCTATAGTAATCAAAACTGTGGGGTACTGCTAAGGATAGGCATAGAGATCAATGGAATACAATCGAGAGTCCAGAAATAAACTCTCAGTTTTATGGGCAATTGGTTTTCAACAAGGGTGCTAATTCAGTGGGGAAAAAATAGTCTTTTCAACAAATGATGCTGGGACAACAGAATATTCCCATGCAAAAGAAAGAAGTGAATACTGTCCTTGTATCATACACAAAAAATTAACTCAAAATGGATCTAAGACCTAAATGTAAGAGGTATAACTATAATACTCTTAGAGGATATCATAGGTATAACTCTTTGGCCTTGGATTAGGCAATGGCTTCTTATATATGACCTGAAAGCATAAACAACCAAAGGAAAAATAGATAAAATGGACATCATCAAAATTAAAAATGTTTGTGCTTCAAAGGACATTATCAAGTAAGTGAGAAGACAGCCAAGAGAGTAAGAGAAAGTATTTGCAAATCATCTATTAGAGAAGGATCTCACATCCAAAATATGTAAAGAGGTCTTACAACTCTATAGTAAAAAGATAATCAACCCAATTAAAAACTGGACAAAGGATTTGAATAAACTTTTTTCCAGAGAAATATACGACTAGCCAATAAGTTCATGCAAAGATGCTCAACATCATTATTCATTAGGAAAATACAAATCATTACCACGATGAGATACAACTTGACACCATTATGATGGCTATAAACAAAAGGACAGCAACAAGTGTTGGTAAAGATATAGAGAAATTAGAATTCTCATACATTGCTGATGGGACTATAAAATGGCGTAGCCATCCTGGAAAACAATTAAGTTCCTTAAAAATTTAAATATACAGTTAATATATGATCCAGAAATTCCCATCCTAGGTATATATCCAAGAGACATGAAAATATATGTTCACACAAAAACTTGGGCAGAAATGTTCAGAGAAGCATTATTCATAATAGCCAAATAGTGGAAACAACTCAAATATCTATCAGCTGATAAATGGATAAACAAAATGTGGCATATCCATATAACAGAATATTACTCAACCATGGAAAAGAAATGAAGTACTAATACATGCTACAACATGGATGAACCTTGAAAACTACATAAGTGAAAGAAGCACATGTTGTGTGATTCCATTTATAGAAAGTCCAGAATTGGTAAACCTGCAGAGACAGAGTATTGGTTGCCAAGGGCTGGAGGTGGGAGCAATGGGAACTGACTGCTAATGGGTATGAGGTTTCTTTTGCGGGGGAGTGGGAGTGCTGAAAATGTTCTAGAATTAAAAAGTGGTGATGGTTGCACAACTTTGTGTGTAGATGAAAAGCCAGTGATTTTATGGTATGAGAATTTTATCTCAATAAAAATAATAACCAAGGCTCACACCTGTAATCCTAGCACTCTGGGTGGCTGAGTCGGTAGGATCACTTGAGGTCAGGAGTTCAAGACCAGCCTGAGCAAAAGTGAGACCCCGTCTACTAAAAATAGAAAAAATTAGCCGGGTGAGGTGGCACACACCTGTAGTCCCAGCCACTCAGGAGGCTGAGGCAGGAAGATATCTTGAGCCCAGGAGTTTGAGGTTGCTGTGAGCTAGGGTGACGCCACAGCACTCTAGCCCAGGCAACAGAGCGAGACTGTCTCAAAGAAATAAAAATAAAAATAATAGCCTAAAGAAAATAAGAGAACTTCCAATTGTTTCTATCTGCAGGCAGGGGAAGGTATTCAATCCTGGGGTCTCCTGGAAGCAGAGTCTGGTCCCATGTGTTCTAAAATCAGGATCTGAGGGAGATATCATTGGAAAATCTTCTTGACGATTGATAGTATGCATTGTGGCCTCTTATTGCCTCTTTTTGAGAAGGCAAAATTCATCTTCTTTTGGTTAAGTGTGAAATCCTCAGCATTCAGCAAGACAGACTTCCTGCCCGGGAGCGAGCCAGCATCCTGCCCCTGCTTCTCTTCCTGTAGGGTAGGTGAGTATTCAGTAACGTTCCCCAGTCACCACTGTCCTGCCTTCCTGAGCCACCCTAAGCACAGGGGAGGAAGTAGACATGGTGCCTTGTCTCTGAGGGACTTGATTTGGCTGAAAACGCAGGAGAAAGAAATAAAGGAAACGAAGAAGTCCCCTGAGCGATGTGACACCCATGTGCATTTACTCACCATGGGCGCCGAGGGTACGGGGTGGAGGCCAGGGCAGGGACGTCCAGGCCAGTGTTTCCCAAGCCTGGCGCTGGTCAGAGTCGGCGTCCAGCACTTCTCACCTGCAAGGGCCTCCCCCACCCCAACTGCCTGGCCCACCCCTGTGCCTGAGGGGCTGGGGGAAAATCTTAGGGGGGATCTGGGTGCGAGGACTGGGCTGAAGCAGTCTAGGGCGGGTCCCAGCCAGGGTCCAGCCTCTTTCTCAGCTGTCCTCAGGGAGTCCTGGCTGGACCATGCCAGCAGCCCGCCGGGCCCTCACCAGTTGTTTCTGTAGCTCTGTTTCCTCAAACCCAGCCGTCTACATACCCTCACCTCCCAGAGACCAAATTCTTTCAAGGAGGGATATCACCTGACCCCTCCATATCAAGGCCATCCCGTCTGGGCCCTCCAGGTCACACCGCCCTCAAACTCTTCTGTCCCCACTAGCACATGGAGCAGAATAATGTGACCAGAGAACAATAAACAGGTGTTTCCAGCAAGCAGAGAACCCAGGAAGGGGGACAGGCGGGGGTGGGGGACAGCATGGTCCCTGGCCACCACGCGCCCACTGTGCAGCATCCTGGCGGGGTACTTACTGGGAACTGCTTTCTCGTAGCAGACGCCTTTGTAAAAGCAGCACTCGAGCTCCTTGCACTAGTCCCTGGAGACGTTGTAGTCACAGATGTCGTACAGAGGAATGTTGCACGCTGCAAGAGCACACACACGGAGAGCTGTCATCACCAAAAACAAAGGCACTCGCGTGTGTGCTGAAGGACGTGGTCGGGAGGGGCCTCTGTGGTTTTTGTTATTTTTAAAATTATGCATCATACGAGTCTCTGGAATGAATTAAATTTCTGAGCAACATAAAGTCAAGTTAATTACATAGAACAATGCAGGGTCCTCTACTGACGAGGAGATCGTACATCTCAGCGATCGAGAGGCGCAGGTGACACTGTGGGCACTCGGGGGCCCAGGCCCGAACCTGTGATTAACTCACATTCAAGCACACAGGAGGTGAAGTCGTCACCAGGGATGAGGGTTATCTCAGAATGCGAAAATTGAATCAAAAGAACACAAAGTTTAATGCCTATTTCAAACCTTCCCCCAAAAAGGAAACAACGAACCGTGCTGTGGAGAGAAGGCAGAGGCAGCGTCTGGCCAGGGACTGTTTTCAGCATCCCGAGCAACCCAGGGTGCACTCAGACCCCGAGACTGGCCCCTCAAATCCACGGAGGGGCCCAGGGCTGAAGATCATGATGAACAAGCTGCCCTGAGAGGAGGTGGGACTCCCACGGCACCCCCAGGGGGAAGAATGGCTCCCACGGCACCCCCAGGGGGAAGAGTGGCTCCCACGGCACCCCCAGGAGAAAGAGGGGCTCCCACGGCACCCACAGGGGGAGGAGGGGCCCCCACGGCACCCCCAGGAGGAGGAGGAGGGGCTCCCACAGCACCCACAGGAGGAAGAGGGGCCCCCACAGCACCCCCAGGAGGAGCAGGAGGGGCTCCCACAGCACCCACAGGGGGAGGAGGGCTCCTATGGCACCCCCAGGAGGAAGAGGGGTTCCCAGAGCACTTGCAGGTGGGGCTGGCAGAGACCTTTCCTCCAGGAACTGCCATGTCCCCATGCCAGTTCTGCACCAAGCTGCTGGGGTCTCTACCATGTCACAAGGTGATGGGGCGGGGAGGGGGACCCTCAAGGGACCCTGCTTGCTCTCCTTAGGGTTGATTTGTCATTTCAGACTGAGGGTCTCTTGTGGGGCCTGCTGTTGCTACTTCCCATCCCCAGAAGCCTCACTGCAGGTTGCAATGACGTGGCCTTCACCCTCTCGCCACATCCATGCCAACGCCAGGCCTGCTATAGCCCACCACATGCCTCCAGAAACATCAGCAAGGCCCAAGTGGGGCAGGACACACCTGGCTCACCTCTGCTGCTCCCTGTCCCCAGGCTGTATGGGGGAGAGCATGCAGCTCCTTGTGACCTCCTGCTTCCAGGAAGGAGGCACCTGGGAGGGCCCTGCAGGGCCCTGACCTGGCAGGAAGAGGCCCTGACCTCGCACAGCCAGGCTCACGGGGGCCCCAGGGACGGAGGAGCGACCATGTGCTGTGGGCTGGACAGACCTGCGCTCCTGGCTCCGTGCGGTAGCCATGTGCACTGGATGTGACTCCGCACTGCTTTGCCTCCGGACATCCAGGTGTAGGCACCTGCCTCAGGGGTCTCACGGCAGCACCAACAGCCTCCCTTCGGGAGCACAACTCCAGGGTGGACACAGCGCCGGCCGCTTCACAAGCTCCCGAGAATTCAAGTATTCAGAGTCCCGCCACATCTCCACTTTGGGACGATCACATGAATGGTGACAGTCACAACAGCGAACACTCGCAAGCCCCTGGCTGGCTCTGGGGGTGACTCTTGCGCCCCATCTGGGAAGACCCGGACGAGGTCCAAGATCACAGGACCCGGCGTGGCAGAGCTGGGACCCAGGGAGGAGCGGCCCTGGGGCGCAGGGCCCCTCACACAGGCTCCAGCGGGGCTGCTGGAGCCAACAGCCCAGGGGACACAGCCCACCGCGTGCTGCGTCGTTCGCATTCACACACTGACTCGTCTCTCCCACGTCACCACGTAAATACATCGCCAAACTTTAGTACATTCTTTCCCACTTTGACAGTTTTAATATGGGATTCGGAATAGCAGCTGGTTCCCTACCAGCCACGCCTGACCCCCATCCCTTAATCCCACCAGCACCCTGGCCCTCCCGGCACCCACTCCCTCCCTTCCCCGGTGTTCTCACTACTTCCTGCACCTCTCGTGGCATCTCCGTGCAGCTCCCTAAACCCACCGGACCCCAGGGAGTCTCGCAGACACGTGCATTCCCCCCTCACCCTCCACCCTGACCGTGAGGTCTGGGTAAGCTGCTCACCCGGCACTCACCACAGGGGGCACCCCCACCCCACCGGCCTGCCATGCCGGGGCTGAACGTGCGCATGCCGACATGACGGTGAATGCTTTAGGGTTTTTCCGACATCAGGGAGAAGCTTGTCACCCATGTTTTACCGCATCTATGGCAGGAGAGGAACGCGTCAGGCCACACGGTGCCTGGGGTGGCACATAACAGAGGTGGGCATGCCACCCCAGGGAGGGCGCGTCCTCATTTTGGACACGGCTCACGTGTGTGGCATTTCTGCTTAGTCTGCCTCCTCTCTGCCTGGTAAGGCCTCACTTGCAGGAAGACTTCCTAGAGGAGAGCCGCGGGCCTTGGGTGTCACACCCAGATGGGGGACAGCGCCTGGGCCTCCCCAGCTCCCCGCCTGTCCTCTCTCCCATCCCACGTTGCCCATGCCCCCTCGGGTTTTGGCGGCGGTGGATCTTGTTCCCTAGGAGCCGACAGACTCAGCAACCAGCACCATGGAAGCATCCAGAACTCCCCCCACTCGGAGAACACGCCATCAGAAAGGTGGGCACGAGGCTGGCCACTGGGAGACCCCGGGGCAGCGACGCCATGGCCAGCGAGACACACGAGGCAGAGGTCTCTGCAGCCCAGCTCAGGTGTGACTCTGGGCACAGCAGCGACAGAAACGTGCCACGGGACTCAGCCTCTACCCAGGCCCTGGGCGCCTGCCCGTGTCCAGTCTTACTGTGTCTCCCAGCAGGTGTCACAAACAAGGTAAAAATCTCTAAAACTAGAGACCCATTTTCTTGATACTGTGAATTTTAAACCATAGATCAAGTTGTCTTAGGATAAAAGACACCAGTTCTGGAGCTTGAGAAATCAAAACGAGAAGCGAGGGGACACGGGCTCGTTGCCACCAGGAAGCCGACTCGGACCCACGGGCTCGGGGCGTTCACGCAAGGTGTGCAGGGCCCAGGTGCCATTTCCGTGTCCCGAGTGCACTTCAGCCTTCGAACTGGGGCCTGGAGAGCGCGGGGGCCACAAACCCGCAGGATTCGGGAGAGAGAACACAAATGCGTCCACCGCCCCGGCCCTTCCCCAGCACCACGGCGAGGGCAGAAGCGGCTGCGCTGTTTCTTGAGACCCGACTCTTTCCTACAAGCCACTCCCAGAACACTCAGATGTGTACAGTACTTTATAGTTTACCAGGCACTGCCACAGAAACTATTTTATTTCATTTTCATGGCAACTTTGTGAGGGGATTGACATTAATTTTAGACACACCAATTAATAGACAACAGATATACACAAACCCGACAGGCGAGAGCCTCTAGCCAAGGCTGGATGTCCCATGAGAAGTCCAGGGGTGGTGTCCGCAGCTCCCACCCAGGCAGGCCGTTTGTCATTGGTCCTTTCACTGGGGAAGTCCTCATCTTGCACCTTCACCCACAGTGCCTGCCAGCGGGCGGGGCCAGGGGAGGCAGGTTTGTGCCACAGGACAGGCCCCCGCGGGCTGGCTGCACGCCGTCGCGCCCTGCTGGCCTCTGTCTCCTCCGCCCACCCGCCAGTGCCCTCCAACAACCCAATCACCTAAGCTGGCTCCGAAACAGGACGAAACCGAGCCTTGCCATTTTACAGTTGCCCAACAAGCCTAAACAAACAAAAACACTCAACAAAACAGCTGCATTGAAATCTGCAAAGGAGGCTAGAGACAGCCTAGTCCTCTTCCCGCACCCATCCTCCAGGCACTGGGAGAGCTGCACGCGGGCAGCCATCAGGGTAGCAGGGCCTGCTGGCAAGGTGTGCCCCCAGAGGCAGCACGGCCGTGCCCTGGCGCCCTGACAGAGCCCCCACCTGGCCCCACGCACCCAGGGGAGGGCGCCAGCCTCCAGCGGCCCCAGCACCCCCTGGCAGGGCAGGCTGGGCCCCCAGCGGCCCCAGGGCTCAGGAGCCTGGGCAGAGACCAGGAGGGCTGCCCTGGAGGGCCTGGGGAAGGGATCGCTCTCTCCCTGACTTTGGCCCAGCTACAGGGTGGCCAGGAGACGAGAGGGGCCACCCTACTGGCCACATGCGGAGTACCTGCTCCTGGTAGCCTCCGCCACTCCCTCGGGGCTCCCAGGTACCTGTCCTGTGCGTTCTGGGGCAGAAAGCACAGCACCCTCTTGGGGTCTTCCTCCTGTCCCAGAAGGCGCCTGCCCCCGGTGTGACAGAGAGCCGGTGGCAACGTGGCCTCAGAGGCCTCCCAGGGCAGCAGATGCCACTGCCCGGCCTGCTGGGTCCCGGGGCCCTGGGCAGGCGGCAGCGTCACACGCCTCCCGGAATCTGGGCCGGCCCGGAAACGCTCCCTCGTCTGCCACCCAAGCAAAAGCAACAAAATACGAAAGCCAAATTTCTTTTCTTTTCCTTCCATTTTCTTGTAGGTGGTTTATTACAGAAGTAGCGCATGGATACAAGCTCGGCTGAGAAAAAACTTCGAGTCACACAGAAACATGAGCAGTGGGAGGCAGCGTCTGCCTCTTCCCACCCAGGGAAGGTGCACGCTTCCAGAACTTTCCTGGCCTGGTTTCAAGTCAACACAACCACACTGTCTGCTCACACTGACAATCCCAGGGGTGCGTCTGTCTTCGGCGCAGTCACCAGACAGAAGTGGGAAAGAGAGCTTCGCTGTGGAGAAGTGTTTTTCCGTAATAAAAGACTTACTTCTCAATTCCAATCACGAAGTAAATGAAGGGCGCGTTGGGCACCACAGAGAGAAAACGCCTCTGACCCCTTAACCTCGGAAACAGCTAAACATAGTTCTTACTTCTTAGCATATAAAACCTCAGGTTCGGGTGGTTCTTTGTAATGAAATTTAAGAAAATGAAGACCTCGGTGTTTTCCCAGGTTATCTTAAAAGCGCAAATGTCTTTGCCTCCCTCGGCAGCCAGGCCTGGCACCTGTCAACACCACGGATGACAACAGCCCCAGTAGTGGCCTTTTCTACGTCACCTGCGAATTTCTTCAGGAGGTGCGGTGGGGACTTTTTGATGTCCGGCGCATATTTCATCATGGTGCTGACGGACGGGCGGAGCAGTCAAGCCTGGAAAACAGAAGCCTTCAGCATGGCGGGACCTCGTGGACGCCCGCCAGGAACAGGGCCATGCTGGGAGGGCTGTTCCTGCCGCCAAGAGGGCCACCTGGGAACTCACCTGCCCACCAGCTCCCTGGGCCCTCAGCCGCTCGCCCCTCAGTGCTGCTCCAAGTGGAGAACGCCTTTGTGATAAAACAAGAAACTGGCCACCTTCTCCGGTCTGCAGTCACAGCCAGTGGAGTGTGGAGCCAGGGCCAGCCGGCCCTGCCTGCTGTGACATCACACAGTCCCGTGAGGTCACAGGGACGTCACACAGGGCTTCACTCAGAGCGACGCAACTGTCCACATTCTGCAGGCTGCGTAGACAGAGCACAGAGGACGCTCAGACTAACTGGCATGGGGAAGCAGTTCCAAGGGCAGGACTGCACTCAGGACACCAGGACCTCAGCCCCACCTTCCCCGTGGACACCCACTCCTGCTGCCCACCAAGCCCAGCTGTGAGACCAGAAGTTGGAGTCCTGCCACCTCCTTCAAGCCTTGGCCCTTCCTCCTTGGAACATGGCTTTTTCTGGGCATGAGTGGATCCAACAGTGAACAACACAGACCGGTCCCCTCCCTTTCTCGGAGGGAGACAGGACAGAGGTTTGTGTCAGGATAGACATGCGCTGTGGGGGAAAACAAGGTAGAGCTTGTTGGTTAGGGAGCACTTGGGCAGGGGCGATTTCCCTACTGCCGGGGTGAACGGAGGCCCCTGGTGAGAAGAGCGCATCTGAGGCTGAAGTGGTGGCACGTGCAAAGGCCCTGGGGCAAGGCCCGCTCAGCCCTGAAACGACTGATGGAAGCCAGCATGACTGGAGGGAAGCAGACTTTGCTGACAGCAAAGCAGGCCATCCTACAGCTGCAAGGAGATGAGCTCTGCCACCCACTGTGGGCTGGGAGAGGCTCGCAGCTCAGAGGACATGGTCTTGTTGGAGCCCTGATATCAGCCTGGGAGACCCCAAGCAGGGCACCTGCTACCCATGTCTGGACCCCTGACCTAGAAAAACTGGGAGTTAATCAGGGGATGCTGTTTGAAGCCTGAAGTCTGTGGGAATTTGTCACAGCAGCAGAAAATTAATGCACTTGGGAGCTGAACATCTTTATTGGCTAATGCTGAATTCGAACGTGTTTGTGGCAACTCACCCTCTAAGAAGCAGTGTATGAGAGCACCGCACCTTCAGAAATCCTTGGTATTATTAATAATTTTAATTTTATTGGTATTATTTTAGTAGCATAATTTTAGGACTCTAATTTGCATTTCCCTGATTATAAATGAGATCAAAGACCTTTTATGTTTATTGGCCATGTTGGATATTCTCCTTTGTGAACTATCTTTTTTTTTAGATTAAATTGTCTTTTTCTTATGGATTTGTTAAATATCTTGTATGCCAGGTCTTCACAAAGTTCATGGAAAATATGTATTAGGAAAAAACTATGCATGCATTCCAAAAGTTTTTTGCACCAAAATACACTCATATCAACTTGCTATAACATGTCTCAACAGGCTCTAGTTTGAGACACTAAGATAAGACACCAGTTTAAAAAGAATCCCTATTGGAGCAACATGAATTCTGCTAAAATCGAAGCAAGAACAAAGACGAAATGTATGGTGAAGCTTGGGTGGAAGAACAGTGAAATCATTCGTGCTTTACAAAAAGTTTATGGAGTTAATGCCCCAAAGCAATCAGCATTTCCAAATGGATAACCGGTTTTAAGAAGGGACGAGACGGCCAGGCGCGGTGGCTCACGCCTATAATCCTAGCACTCTGGGAGGCCGAGGCGGGAGAATCCCTCAAGGTCAGGTGTTCGAGACAGCCTGAACAAGAGCAAGATCCCGTCTCTACTAAAAATAGAAAGAAATAAGCTGGACAACTAAAAATATATACAGAAAAAATTAGCCGGGCATGGTGGCGCATGCCTGTAGTCCCAGCTACTCGGGAGGCTGAGGCAGGAGGATCGCTTGAGCCCAGGAGTTTGAGGTTGCTGTGAGCTAGGCTGACCCCACGGCACTCTAGCCAGGGCAACAGAGCAAGACTCTGTGTCAAAAAAAAAAAAGAAGGGATGAGACAATGTTGAAGATGAAGCCCAGAGCAGCCGACCATGCACATCAATTTGGGAGGGAAAAATTAATCTTGTTCGTGCTCTAACTGAACAGGACAGACAACTAACAGCAGAAACAGTAGCCAACACCAGACATCTCAGCTGGTTCAGCTCACACAATTCTGGCTGAAACATTAAAGCTGAGCAAACTTGCCACTCAGGTGACAAGACAGAGCTTTCAACGGAAATTGTAAACAAGTGGGATCAACAAGATTCTGAAGTGTTTCTTTGAAGAACTGTAACAGGAGAGGGAACGTGGCTTTACCAGTAGACCCCGAAGACAGAGCACAGTCAAGGCTGTGGCTACTGAGAGGTGGACGTGTCCAGTCAAAGCAAGAGCGAAAGTTGTGGCAACGGTTTTTTTGGATGTTCATGGCACTCTGCTGCTGACTTTCTGGAGGCCAAAGAGCGGTAACATCTGCCTGTCATGAGAGTGTTTTTTGAGACAGTCGGCCACAGCGTTAGCAGGAAAACGCCAGGAAAGCTTCCCCAGAGAGTCCTTCTCCACCACGACAACGCTCCTGCTCACCCCTCTCACCAAACAAGGGCAATGTGGGGAGATTTTGGTGGGAAATCATCAGGCACCCACCTGACCACATGAGTTGGCTCCCTCTGACTTCTTGTTTCCTGATCTTAAAAAGTCTGCAGGGCACCCATTTTTCTCCAGTCGATAACGTAACAAAGGCCGCACTGACGCGGCTGATTCCTGGCACCCTCGGTTCTTTAGGAATGGACTATGTGGCTGGTGTCATCACTCACAACAGTGTCTGGAGCTTGATGGAGCTTACGTTGAGAAGTAGAGTTTATATATTTTGTCTTTTAATTCCAGTTTTCCATGAACTTTTTGAAGTCCCCCATATAGCCTGAACACAACCCTTTGTGTGTGACGTGTGTAACCAGCGCCTGCTCTTGCTCCAGGCTGTGCCACTACATCTTCTTAATGTCTTTGGAAAGCAGCTTTCATTAGCAGTTAATGTTAATTTTAATGTAGTAGAATGTATTAATCTTTTCTTTTGTTATTAGAGCTTCTTGCATCCTGTCTTCCCTAACCCTAAGATCATGAAGATATTCTCCATTATCTTCTACGATTTCATTGCTTCCTCTTTCATATTTAAATCTAAAATTAGACACAGCCAGGATTGGCGTATGGTGTGAAGGAGGAGTCAAGTCTCACACTTGTCTACCAGGAAAAACAATGGACCAAGAACAATTTACTGACAATACTGTCCTCTCCCCACTGTTCTGCGGGGCAACACTTGATGCACGCGTGTCCACACGTGGACGGGTCTGTGTGGGCACCCTTTGCTCCAGCACCGCCCAGCGTGTTAACCCCCCTCTGGTCATCCTCAAAGCAAGTCTTTCCACCTTGCTCTTCACCTTCATGAGGTTCTTATTCTTGGCACTTTGCATTTCCACGTAAATTGCAGAAATTATCTTTCAAGATCCAGAAGAGGGGAGAAAAAACCTCACAGGGCTTTATTGCCATAGCACTGAATCCATAAAGCAAATGGGGGAGAAATGACATCTTTATCATGTCGAGTCTTCTACCTCTGCGGTCCCCAACCCCTGGTTCGTGGCCCGGTACTGGTCTGTGGCCTGTTAGGAACTGGGCCACACATCACCGCCTCCCCACTCACCCCGTGGAAAAATTGTCTTCCATGAGACTGGTCCCTGGTGCCAAAAAGGTTGGGGACTACTGTTCTAACCCATTAACATATCACCCCACCTGGACCTCCTCTCATTTCTTCAATAATGTTTTGTAGTTTTCTACGTTAAGGTCTTCCATATCTTGTATCTTATTTATTCCTACTTGATGTTTTTTGTTACTGAAAAAGTATCATTTTCTGTTTTCCATTTGTTCCTGATTTAGAGAAAATCAATTTCTATATACATCTTTTATCTAGCACCATTATTAATTCTAATTATTTCACTGTAGATACTTTTGTATTTCCTACATACACAATAGTATAATTTGAGAATGAGTTTTCATTGTTTCTTTACAAACTGTGTGCCCTTCCCCCTTTTATCCATGCTGTAATACACCGGCAAGCACTGGGGAACAGAGGGTGATACTTTGCCAATATGATGTTGGTGTTAATATATCAATAGAGTTTTTGGTAAATGTTCTCAGACTAAAGAAATTCTTCTATTCCTAGTTTGCTATTGGTTTCATCCCCACAAATGGATGCTGAATTTTACCATATGTGTCTAATCTAATCATATGATCACAGCTTTTTTTTTCTGTAAATGTGGTAAATTACATTTTTTTAAAACTCTTAAGCCAAACTTGTATCCTTGGAATCAACCCACCTGGTTATGATATACAGTATGACCCTTCTAAATATATAGATTCAATTTGATATGTTAATATTTTGTATCTATTATTCATGACATTGCCCAAAATTGTCCTTTGTTTTATTTGGTATTATAATATTAATAGTATCAAGGTTGGTATTGTAAAATGAATTTGCAAATGCTTACTCTATTTTCTAACCTCTGGAAGAAATTGTCTTAAACTTTAAGTTTGCTACAGTTCACTACCTGGAAGTGTATGTTCGTGCAAGTCTTTAAATTACAAGACAATTTCTTTAATAGCTATATATGATATTTACTATATTTTTTTCCTTGTGCCAGTTTTCAAAGCTCTTTTTCTAGGAACTGAAGCATTTCACCTTCATTTGCAAACTTATTTGCATAAATAATATAATATCATTGTCATCTTTTTAATGTCTAAAAATGTGTAGTTATCTCCCTTTTCATTCTAACAAGGGTTACATGTGACTTACTTTCCTTACCTGTTTGCCAGGAGTTTATCAATTTTATTAGTCATTGGTCTCTTCAAAGAACAAATTCTATTCATCTCCCAAATTCCTGCTTGGCCCTCCTTCCCTCCCAGCTCAGCAACCACCGACCAGCCATCCGACACTATGGTTGCCTCTTCTACATTCCCTGTAAATGGAATTATAAAGTACACATTTTCTTCTGGTTTCTTTCACCCAGCACAGTACCTACGCGATGCA